TTAAGTAATTTATATCTTTTAAATAATTTATATGTTTTGAATATTTCATGTATTGGGTGTATATACACTTGAGCAAACAATTGCATATGCGCGCACATGTAAACTCAGAAATGAAAATATGAATATGTTTAAAAAGTATTTATTTCTTTTTATCTTCACTTATGTAGATATTCAAATAGCATTTTATTTATTTATATTTCCATTTATGTGGACAAGCAAATAGTATTTTATTTATTTATATTTCCAAGTAAATATACACGTATGAATATACCCAAGTGCATGCAGAAGTAGAAATACTTACGCAAGTATGCATTTAAATGCGAATATTCTGCATATTTTAATGCAGTTGTTTGTATATTTACTCCCAAATAAATAAATACATTCTAAAATATATATATATATATTTGTGCTTTTAAAAGCACAAAAAAGTACTTTTAAATGCACTTTTGGGTCTGTAGAGAAAACATGAAAAACAGGCCCTGGCCCGCAGGTGTATGTACACCCCAATATGCGAAAACTAGATGAATTCAAATTTTTATTTTTTGCATTCTTAAAAATACTCTTTTTATGTATTTTTGAATTTAATAATGCTTTCGGCCTTTTAAACATGTTTAAGCAACATTCGAATCTTTTGAAATTTATTTATTTAAAATGATTTAGTATTTTTATAAATGTATAAACAAATATTTATGTGCACGAGGTGCATGCGCATGCAAGTCCATAATTTGAAATAAATGTATTTTAATATTTTTCATAAATGTACATTTGCCAATTATTAAAATATAAATTTAGGGATTTATAATTATATTTATACTATATTTATATTATACTTATTTGTCACAGATAAATTTAAAAGGATTTTATTTAAATATGTATGTATTCATTCGTATATATCCATATTTGAATTATTGTTATACATGCTTTTATAAAATGCGAAGAAGCCAAACCCTAAACCCTAAACCCTAGAGCTTCAAAAGAAATGGCGCATGCTGGCGAATAAAAGACAAAAGTTCTTTTATTTATTTATTATTTATTTTCTTCTTCCAAAGCCCCAAAATGCATGCGCTTATAAACCCCAAAGGAGAATAAAGTCAAAAAGAAACAGAAAATAGTTTTAAACAGTTAAAAGCACGCGGAGCTGCGCGCAGCAGCAGCTGCAGCAGCAGCATCTTTGCTGCTTCAGCGCTGCTGCAGCAGAAGCATTGTTGCTGCAGCAGCAGCAGCAGCAGCTGCAGCACACAGTGTATTCAGGGCCCTGTGCCGTCTAGAGACACTTCATCCATGCTGCCCGAGGGCCGCCCCTCCGCTGCTTCTTCGTGCTGCTGCTGCTGCTGCTGCTGCTGCGCAGCAGCAGCAGCAGCAGCAGATGAAGCTGGCAGCAGGGCCCCAAAACTCTGGGGGGAAGAAACGCATGCATCTGAGGGGCCCTCTAAAGAGGCGCTGAAGTCCCCATTGACTGCGCAGAGAAAGGCCCTGTCGTCCGCCGCCATCTGCAACCACAAAACCCTAAACCCTAAACCCTAAACCCTAAACCCTAGGTTGCGCAGCAGGGGCGGCGAGGAGTGAAGTCGCCGGCCAAAGAGGAATTGAAGACAGCACGCGACAGAAACACCCCGGAAAAGGCAGCGCCGGAGCTCCAAACCCTAAACCCTAAACCCTAAACCCTAAACCCTAAACCCTAGCACGACGGAAATAAAAAAAAGAAAACCCGCTCTTACCTGCAATGCTGCCAGCCACTGGTCGCATTCTCGAACTCCTTTAAAGCGAAAGACAACAGTGGACTTGGGCAGCAGCCCCCTCCTCCTCTTCTCCTGAACAAACCCTAAACCCTAAACCCTAAACCCTAAGCCCTAAACCATAAACCCCAGCACAGCCAAAATTGAAGAAGGACTTACGGTTATTTGAATACCCATCTTTCCCACGTCGCCACTGCCGATCCTTTTCACCTAATAAAACGAGGCCACCAACCTTAACCTCTAAACCCTAAACCCTAAACCCTAAACCCTAAACCCTAGGGCCGCGAAGGCTGAACCCCAGCAGCGGTATAGGAAGCCCCTCTCCCGCAAATGCCTCCCCTGCCTACGCACCAAAACTCCAAACCCCAAGCCCCAAACCCCAAACCCTAAGCCCCAAACCCTAAACCCTAAACCCTAAACCCTAAACCCTAACCTCTGCGCCTGCAACGGAGATGGAGCGGAGAGGGTTTTCGCGTTCGCCCTGGGGAAAGAAGTGCAGCAGCCTGGAGGAAGAGAGACACAAAGTTCCTGCTGCCCAGCGCGGCAGCAGCGCAGCAAGAGTTCCCATTTGCTTCTGTGCTGCTCCCTGCAGCAGCAGCAAACGGCTCGGCGGAGGCAAACCCTCCCGCTGCAGTGCTGCTGCTGCTGCTGCCAAGCAGCTGCAGCGGTAAGGCGCAGGCACCACGCCCGGCGAACAGCTCTGCAGCAGCCCTGCAGACGCCCGCCCCACACGCGTCCAAACCCTAAACCCTAAACCCTAAACCCCAAACCCTAAACCCTAATCCCTAAACCCTAAACCCTAAACCCTAAGGCTAGACCCTGAGGACAAGCCAGTATATCGGTAGAACAAACTGAGGTGGAGACTGGCAGATGCCCCGAAGAACAAAAAGGCAACTGCTTGATATTTAATTCTAGGGTTTAGGGTTTAGGGTTTAGGGTTTAGGGTGTTGGTCCAAGTGCCTGTCGCCGCCCTGCTGCAAATGTGGGGCGGACCCTCGTCTTTGAGCAGCTCCCACAAAGCCCTGAGTTTGCTGCTGTCGCAGAAGACAGCCTGCTGCTGCTGCTGTTGCTGCTGCTGCTGCTGCTGCAGCTGCGGCGTTTCTGCACCCCCCACTGGCTCCTCAGAAGGCTGCCAGGGGTCAGTGTACGTACACCCCGTGCTGCTGGGGGGCTGTGGGGCCCCAGGCTCATCTGTTAAGCAGCAAAAAGTTCCTTTGCCTTTTCGGCGGCTGGCTGGCTGCTGCTGCTGCTGCTGCTGCTGCTGCTGTTGCTGCTGTTCTAGCTCCGAAACAGACGTGGAGGCGGCAGGCAGCACAGGAGGGGCAGCAGCAGCAGCAGCAGCAGACAGCTGCAGCCGCTCCAACAGAGACAAACACTGAACAGATGCTGCTGCTGCTCCCAAGCTCCCCTCACTTAATCCCGGCAGGGAAAGACCTGCAGCAGCAGCAGCAGCAGCAGCAGCAGCACTTGGGTCACTGAAAGTGCGCTGCCGACCCCTAGCAGACGGCTAACACTCCCCAGAGAAG